CGGGAGGAAACGAGCGTTGTTGGTGTGTGGTAGGGCGGGTGAAACGGGGAGGCATTGGAGGTCCTGTTTATTTTTATTTATATTTATTTATTTAGCGGAACCGGGGATTGAACTCACACCCTTGAGCTTACCAGGGAAGCGCCTATTCTACTGAGCCATCTCCCGGCCCCAAGATATCCTGTTGATTTCTGATAGGATTCCTGTGATTGAGGGGTTGACCATAGACTGGTGGCTAGGGAGGTATAGCCAAGGGAGTGGTTAGGGGACTACCCAGGGCAAGAGAGGGCTTTCACAATTTAAAGTCCCAAGTAGGACAGAAATTTACTTCCAAACATGATAAAGAACCTACTACTGAAAACGGCAGGTAAGCATTGCAATGTGACCATTATAACTATCCTCAGTGAGAGAAAATAAAACGTTTTTAGTGGATAGAGACTCTCAAAAGACAAATAGAGGGACTGGTGAGATGGCTCAGTGGTCTAAAGCACCTACTTAGAACAAGCTTGGCAAAGCACAGGGACCGCGGTTCGATTCCCCAGCACCACATGCCAGCCAGCCCCGCTCCCTGGTGGGCTGAGCTGGCCACACACACACACACACACACACACACATAAATAAATAAAATTAAAAAAAAAAAAGACAAATAGAAAATCTCAACAGAGAAGCAGAAAGTTTAAAACCAAATGGACATTCTATAACTCAAAATTATTATTTCAGATATTATTTTAAAAGTTCAGTTTGAAGGGCCGGCAAGATGCCTCAGCGGACTAACCACTTGCTTAGGCAAACGCAGGGGCCAGGGAGCACCTGGATGCGCTGAGCCAGCGATGGGGTCCAGGTGTGGTGGTGCACGCCTGTTAATCCCGGGACTAGGGAGGCTGAAAACATGAGGATCACTCCGAGTCTGAGCTGCATAGTGAGACCTTGTGTGTGTGTGTGTGTGTGTGTGCGCGCACACGCGCACACCCCACCTAAAAAAAAAAAAAAGCTCACTTTGTAATTTTAATAGCTAAGAGGAAGTTGCAGAGGAAAAAGTGAGCGAATTTTAAGATAAAACAATGGAAATAATTCAAAGCAATAGAAATCATTCAAAGTCAACAACAAAGAGAAACATTTGTTTTTAAAAATTAACAAAGCCTCAAAAACTTGCTACACGATATTAACCCAACATACACGTAAGTAGAAGAACAAAAATAGAATAAGGCTCAAATTTTTTAAATAATAGCCAGAATTTCCCCCAAATTGGTAAAAGACCAAAATGTGCCAATAAAAAAATGTCAAATGAACAACTAAAATAAACTCCAAGGAGACCACACTGTTTCAAATTGTTGAAATTCAAAGGAAAAAAGCAAAGGTCAGTGCATTCAAAGAAATGGAAGCAATGTCGTGCGTTACACATAGGAGGCCCCACACAAAGATTTCTAAATTGTCCCTGAGTATGTCACATTTGGATAATATCATTAACTTTTCCCTCCGCAAGCCTAAATAGTAAGTATTAAATTCTCCTGACTTTTAATGTCACTTTAGGAGAGCTAGACAATGAAAATAAAGTACATTTTGGCTTCCATAGTAAGCAATAAAAGTTTTAAATAGGTCTTTCTGATTCCGAAGGGTAATCACAAACACAAGTATAAGGACACTTAGAAAACCTAGTATTTAAATTATAGAATCAAGATGCTATTGTGGCAATCTAAAGTGAAACCAAAGAACAGGGTTGAGTTTCAGCTTTTAAAAGCCTGAAGGATTTCTCCTTTTGTAAACGTCTCAATGGCTCACTATAGTTGAGAACTAAAGTGGTTAGAAAAAAAAAAAAATCAGTAATAACAAATGAGAATCCCCCCTGAGTATACTGCATTTAATTAAATTCTGTGTAATGTAGTACTTGCCGCACTGATTTCCCAACTTGATATTCCGACTCAGGCCATTTTATGCCTATAAAAAAATCGGTAATGTTTGAGCAGAGATATATTAATTCAGCTACAGTCTCGAGAGGAAAAGGAAACACTGAATTATGATGTAAATCTACAGTGTGCTTAAAAAAGAAGAAACAGATTTTTCACCTTATTGTATAAGACAATGATCTCCAGTTGGAAAAAGTTTAGTTAATGTCCAAGATAAGCTTTTTATCATTAGTTTTTTCTGTATCTTGTTCATTTGGGGGGGGGGCACAAGTTCTATTATTTGTCATTTAGATTTCAAGAATTTGTGAGAGCAATTCTAGTAGAATATTTACAAAGCTGCGATTTGTTACTACTCAAAGACATGATCATAGTTGGGAGTTCTCTATCATGTGTCAAAAATAGAATATTCTAGATGCTGTTCTAGTTTTTCCATAAGTTTACCAATGCAATCTAAATTCCATGTTTGCAAAATTAAGATGTACTCTAGTTAATCCTTAGGGCTGTTCACATTTAGAATGACAAAAATAAGATTTCTATGGAAAAAAATCAAGCAAGATCTTTGTAAAGAACATCTGAATGTTACTGAAGATTATTAGAGAGGACCTAAGGCAAGGTATAAACATATTATGCATTTGGACAGAAAGATTAACTATTGTAAAGATGGTAGTTCCCCCTAAATTGACCTATAGATTCTAGCAATCCCAATCAAAACTCGAAAGGTAAAATCCTGATAGATTCCTGATACTTGATAAACTGGCTCTGAAATATAGGACTATAGGGCCATAAATGACCAAGACTTTTCTTATGAACAAATGCAGGAAATATCTTATAAAGTGTTCAGTTATTTTTGGCAGCACAGTAAAGGAAGGATAAAAGAAGCCCTTATTGACTCTAAATGATATGGAGAGAATCCCAGGGAATATGGGGGTTCTCTGACCTGAGACAAAGAAATCTGAGACTTCTGTGGACTTTTACTAAGGGTGGAGGTTGAGGGGCAGTTTCAATTACATGTAAGGAGCTGGTGGGGTCTCCCCAGGGTGTTGCAGGAAAGGTGAGAGGAAATTGTATCCAGGACTGGGTCGGGGGAGAAGGCATAAGTGGTCATTGGGAAGATAAGCTGTTGTCTTAAGGGCTTCAGCCATGTTAGATGACCACCATAATAATTTAGCAATTCCTACGAAGGCCAGAACCTATCATTCCTGTCTTTTAGTTGTTATGAAGGGGCGGGGTGTCTCTTAGACTACTTCCTGCTGAATGGGGGTATCATTTTGGGGATGAGAAGGATTGATAGGATGATGGTTCATGACCATGTGGAAACTAGTGTCAGGTGTCTGTTAGGACAAGAAGTTTATTGCTAGTGAAGACTCATATCAGAGAATGAAGAAACCATGGGGTTTTGAACCTTTAGTTATGTGAAGACATGTAGGCAGCAGGAGCTGTGAAGACCATTCAGGTGACAAGGGATTGAGATCAGGAGAAGTAGAGTTGTCTGGTGGAGTGGGGTTGTCTGGACACTGCTTGGCTCAGGTGATGTGGAACCAGGAGAGCAGGCCAGCAACTTGTATTGCTGTTGATGCTGAGAGGATGACCAAGTGTAGTCCTGTCTGTGTAGATTTAGAGGATTTAAGATATATTAAATCTGTAGAGATATGGATGATGCTGATTGAGTGCTTCCTATTGGTTTTGGAAGGCAGGCTGAAGCAGGTATTGGAGGAAAGATAGGATATGAATATAGTCAGTGAGAGGGGGAAGGTTATCAGGAGCAGGAGTTATGAAGCAGAAAAAGGTCTACTGTACATAAATTTAAATGGACTTAGAAATTCAAATGGGGACCCTAGGAAGTGCCCTAAGTCTAGTTAGGGCTAAGAGAAAGAGTTGGAGCCAAGGCACCTGTAGCTCTGAGATGAGTTTTGTGAGGTGAGTTTTAAAAACCCATTTGCCTTTTCTACTTTTCCACATGACTGTGGGTGATAGGGTATGTGTAAGTGCCCAGTGATGTTGAGAATTAAAGGGGCTGGGGAGATAGCTCAGTAGAATAAGTGCTTGCTTGGCAAGCACAAGGGCCTGAGTTCAATCCCTGGTTCAGAGAGAGAGAGAGAGAGAGAGAGAGAGAGAGAGAGAGAGAGAGAGAGAGAGAGAATATTAAAGCAACTTGTTGAATGATCTGGGAGATGAACACTGGCCCATTATGTGACTGGATAGTCGGAGGTCGTCAAAATCTGGGAATAATATCCTGTATGAGAACTTAAGTGACTACATTTACAGTTTCCTGAGCAGTGGGGAAAATTTCAGTTCATCCCGAGAAAGTGCAGACCAAAGTGAGAAGACATCTTTATGTCTTGTAGTGAGGTATGTGTGTGAATTCTGTCTGCAAGTCTTTGCCTGGGATGTGTCCATGAATCAGGTGGGTTGGAAAAAAAGGAGGTGATAAGTGTCTCTGAGGAGAGGTCTTGGCACAGAGCTGGCAGTTTTGAGTAACCTGGCAAGTGATGGTTTTTAGGGAGGGGTGTGTGGTGATGGGAGCTAAGAATTTGTATAGAGCCTGAGTGCCAATATGAAAGCAATTGTGTAAATCGGTGATGATGGCTGGCTTGTGTTTATTGGTCTGGAAGAAGGAGTTTTGGCCCTTGGAAGATCCATCCTCGTATGTTTTGGTGATATTAAGGCTTGTAGAGAAGCTGTAGTTGCTCTGGTGAATATGAGGGTGAGGGCATGGTTTTTGGGATAAGAGGAAGAAGACAAGAAGGAATTGGCTGTTCTGCAGCTAACTTGACCTGTACATCAGCAAAAGCATCACCCTGAGCAATGAGATCTGATGGAGTATGGTGTTCTCTGCAGTAAATGACTGCCACCTGTTTTGGGAACTGTGCTGCCTCTAGAAGCTTAAGGGTAGAGGTGCATTAGTGATGGGAGTACCCTGAGCACTGGCAAAATCTCCTTTCTAGTCAGATGGCAGCATGAGAGTGAAGAATACTAACTGCACTCAGAGGCTGTGTAAAAGTTTATAGCTCTGTCTTTGGCTAACATGAGGGCACATATAAGGGCTATAACCTCTGCCTTTTGTGAAGATGTCCCAGGTCATAGTCGGCCTGCCTCTATTATAGTTGACCCATTGACTATGGCATATCTTGCCTTCTTTTGGGTGTCTATTTGTTGAGTTGCCATCTATGAACGATGTGTCACAGGCTGTGGAAGAAGAGTGCTATCGATGTGAGGGACAGGAGTGGGGTCATCTGTAGGGCCTTGACCCATTTGTGTCAGTGCCTCATCAGAAGTGGGGAGGAGAGTGGCAGGACTGAGAAGGCTACTGGTGGAAATAGTGATGGAAGGTTCCTCTATGAACCTTAGGTGGATCTGTTGTATATTAGGAGGAGTCATTAGGTAGATAGGATAAGTGAAATAATGATAGATTTCTTAAAGTTAACTTTTTGCCTCTTCTGTTACTGTGGCTGCTGCTTCAAGAGTGAAATCCATATGTCAACTGTATTTTCTAGTTGTTTGGGAAGGTATGCAACTGCTTGGAATGATGGTCTATTTCTGTGCCCTAAAACACCCACTGCATTATGGCCCTGAGAAGAAGCGTATAGATAAAAGCCTGGGTTGGATTGGGTAATGTGAGAGCTGGAGCCCTTAGGAGACCCTGTTGTAGTTTGTGAAAGGAGGAATGTGTAGGAACAGTAGGGTCAAAGGGTTCTGACAAGGAACCTTTTGATGCTTTATAGAGGGGCTGAGCTAGGGAAGCAAAGTTGGGAACCTAAAGGCTAAAGAAATGAGCTAGACCAAGGAAGAACAGAACATGTTTTGTGGTGGACATCTTAATATCACAAAGGGAGACTTTGCAATCAGCAGCAATTGAATGAGTAGTTGGGATGAGGATGAGTCCTAGATATTTGACTTTTGGTGAGGCTATATGAGCCTTATCTGGAGAGACCCTATAACCTCATTGTGACAGGAAATTGTGGAGACTAGCTGTGTGTTGTAGGGCTAAGCATGAGAGGAGAAGCAGAGGAGGAGGAGGAGGTCATCAGTATACTGAAGGAGTAGGCTGGACTTAAGATCAAGGGTCTTGAGATCAACAGCAAGAGCTTGGCTAAAGAAGTAAGAACTATCTCTGAATCCCTGAGGCAGGACTGTCATGTGAGCTGTTGAGATTAGAGAATGTCTGAATCAGTCCATATGAAAGCAAAAAGGTCCTGGAAATCTGGGAGTAAAGGAATGGTGAAAAAGGCATCTTTGAGGTTTAGGACAGTAAAGTGAGTAGTGGAAGGAGGAATATGAGAGAGCATGGTGTAACGGTTTGGCACCACCCTGAGATCTTGAACTAAATAATAGGAGCCATGAGGTTTCATTCAGTACAAGAAGAATGGGAATATTGTATAGCAAGTAGGGACTGGAAGTGTCCCAGAGTATATGGTCAACAAGGGAAGAAAGAGGGAGGAGCTGTCTGCACATTGAGGTTGGGTTTGTTGGATGAGCACTTTGGGGAGAGAGAGTTGAAAGAGAAGTGGAGTTTTAGGAGGAGAACTCTCCTCATAAAAGGTATTGGGCAGGTTGGGATCACAAGGAAATTATGAATGAAGAATAGTGTCTGGAGTCTGTAGGGAATGGTCCTTGTCTGAAGGGATCATGTAGATTGACCATAAACACCCACTATGGAGACTGTACATCTAATACAGTGACCTGAAAACTCAGAACACTATATGTGGTCTCTATGTCAGCAAGAAAAAAATGTCCTACCTAAGATATCTACCAAGACTCAGGGTTCTGACAGAGATATATCAATGGGGGCTGTAGACCAGAAGCCCTATTGTTTCTCTTCAGCGGCAAGACCAAGCAGGTCAAGTATTGAAGGATCTGGCTGCAGCAAGTTCTCCTGTGAGGGCAGAGAACTGGATTGCTTACCTCCTCTCTGGCAGACAGGGCAGTCATAATTCCAGTGATCCTTGAGCTTGCAGATGGAACCAGGTCCCAGTGGTGGCTTCAGGTTGGGGCAGGCTCATGGCCTTGTGCCCAGTGTCCTTCTTCACTGCACTTAAAGCATGGTTCAGGAGGTACTTGGGTGATAGTGTTATTTAGACTCAGCATTACCTTGCCAAGCACCTGCTTTGATGGGAGTCTTGAGTGTTACAGCCAAAGCTGGCACTTGTGTATAGTTAATTTTTGTCTCTATTATTGAAGACACAAAAAGCCAGATTAAGTATCTTCCTTTGGGTTTTGAGAGCCAAGATCTGTCTTTTAATCTAGTTATGAATGTCAGGAGCAGATTGGGATATAAAATAGGAATTAATAACAATTGTTTCTTTAGGAGAATCTGGGTCTCCGTTAGTGTACTTAGTTGGGAGCAATAACCTTACTTATTAAAATTTCATCTGAGTATTAAGCACCTTGAAATATAAAGTGTAACCAGAGAACTGTTATTTCTTACCATCCGTGGACATTCTAGTAAATCCCTGTAGAATGATAACAGACAACAGTTATACTTTATAGAGAACATTTGGCATCAGTAGTCATGCGTAGTAGTATAGCATAATAGTCATTTATGTTTTAGCTAAGCATGTCTAAATGTACATAGCATACATATCACATATGTTTTTGTTAGATAATTATCATTTGAGTGATGGTTTCATGTTAGCTTGACATAAACTTCTTATTACAAATATCTGCAGCATAAGAGAAAGGCATATGTTTAAATCTGAAAGAAAATATCATTATTAGTTTTACATTGTATAATACTGTACATTTGCAAGATGTGAATATATATATATATATAATATATATCAGCAATAACAAATTTTCATGGTTTTATATTAAGAGCATCTTTTATGAGAAAACTTTATTTTAATTTTTTTCAGAAAAACTTTATTTTTTAACCAATGACCAAATTATTGGGGCTGTCTTCTAAGAGACTATAGAGATTATTGGGGCTTCTTATTAATGAACAAAGATTGGCCACCTCTCTACCCACCAAATGGAGTGCTGTTCAATAATCTCTCCCCTTTTTAATGATTTTTGTTTAATTAGCTTAAATTTTTTGATGAACTGTGAGTCAACCAATTTTGAAATCACTTAGATCAACTGGTAACCCAGGAGAAAGCATGCTTTTAAGTCTATATTTCAAAGCTCAAATAAAGAGGAATAGCTGTTTGTGAAATGAAATACAAACATATAAATAAATAGAATACACAAATGAATGTGTTTAGAAAATCAGTACACTCAAATATATTTCTGAGTAGGTTAAATTATAATAACCTTGTCTTTAGAAAAGTTTATGATTATAAAAGACTAGTCAGAACTTTTTATAGGTCAC